AAAATTTCCATTCTTGTGTAAACTGCTGACAAAAATCAGATACATAGTTACATAATAGGTAAGGCTGAATAAAGACACAGTCCATCGAGTTCAACCTTTGTGTGTGTGTGTTACTAAGATGACCTGTACCTCTGTATGTCTTTTAATTTACTCTCTCTGCTGCCTCAATGCCAGGTTCCTCAATGCGCGCCCCTGTATGCAGGCTGCATACAAGTGCTCTTGGTGGCATCGCCGAGATCACTTGTACAACAAGCGGTGGCTTCTCCGTTGCTTCCCCAAGCAGGGCTAAATGTAGAAAACAACTGCACGCCCGGCGACTGGAACTGCATGTCCCAGGTATCAGAAGATAGGAATTCCACACCCTTGCTGCCCCCCTACTCCCTGCCGTGCCTTGGTTGGCCTTGTGGGAAATCCGGCCCTGTTTGCTCGCTGAGAAAAGTATCTAGATGGGTCTTGAATGTTTCCATACTCTCAGCTGATACCGCTGTCTGTGGAAGGGAGTCCCACAATTGTACAGCTCTCACAGTAAAGAATCCCCATCACTGGTTAAGATGAAACATTTTCTCTTCCAGTTTCAGATGGTGGCCTCTTGTATTATTGAGTGAACTGACAGTAAACAGTTCATCACTGATTATCCATCCCCATTAATATCACATCCCCTCTCAGTCTCCTCTTTTCAAGAGTGAACAAGTTTAATGTGTGCAGTCTTTCCTCATAGTTTAGGTCCTCTAACCCCTTTATTAGCTTTGTGGCCCTCCTCTGGATTCTCTCCAGCTCAGGGATATCCTTTCTATGGATCGGTAACTAAAACTGAACCACATACTCAAGATGTGGCCAAACTAGTGTTTTGTACAGGGGCAGAATTTTGGATTAAGAGAAGATCTTGTTGCACTCCTTACACCGGATATCCCAACAATAGTGAAGGGTGCTTGGAATGACTGCGGATGGCGCTGCTGTTCACATGAATTGTCACCAGCACACCGAAAATCCTTTTAGAACCACCGAAAAGTTCATTTACTGAACAATTGTCAATTGAAAGCAAGCGCTTTGGGCAGGGGCGTCCCGAGGCTGGGTGACACCCGGAGCGGTAACCGAGTGTCACCCCGCCGAGACATCGCGCGCGGCAGTATTCTGATACCTGCCGGCGCCCATCTTGGTGATGGACGCCGGCAGAGAGAGGAGGGGACAGTCACCCGGCGGGAGTCATTTTGGTGTCACACCTCCAATGGTGTCACCCGTGTGCGGGCCGCACCCCCCTTGTGACGCCACTGGCTTTGGGGACAGGGCAGGGTCCCTTCATCAGGCTTAACATCGACAATTATGGAATTATGGATTAGTCTTTAGTGTACATTCCCTTTTTTATACATCAAAGAACCCTCCTCGCCTTACTTGCTGCCTGGCATTGCATGCTGTTCCTAAGGCAGATGTCCACTAGGACTCCCAAATCTTTTTCCACCTCTGATTCCCACAGTGGGATGCTCAGTAATTAGTATTCTGCATGTGTATTTTTAATTCCGAAATGCATAACTTTACACTTCTCAATGTTAAACCTCATCAGCCATGCCTATGCCTATTTTATCCAGGTCTTCCTGTAATATTGGTATGTCTTCTGTTGAGTTTATTACCCTACAAATGTTTGTATCATCAGCAAAAACTGAAATATTGCTATTATTACAAGTCCCAATGTCATTGATAAACAGGTTGAACAGCAATGGCCCCAAGACGGAACCCTGCGGCACTCCACTGCCAACCAAGGACCATTTGGAAAATTAACCATTTATTGATTCTCTCTGGACACGTTCACTTAGCCAGTTCTGTATCCAAGTGTACACTCCATTTCATCAATGCCCGAAGACTGAAGCTTGTAAATGAAACGTTTATGAGGTATCGTGTCAAATGCCTTTGCAAAATCAAGGTACACTACGTCCACTGGCTTTCCTCCATCTAGGCTGCCCCTCACCTCCTCATAGAACAGTAATAGTTTGGTTTGACACGAACAGGCTTTGTTGGTTCAGGTTGTCACTTATGATATCACACCCATAAGGATATTCTTGGATATGGTCCCTTTATCATACACCCAAATAACCTGCATACTATGGATGTTAAGCTGACTGGTCTATAATTCCCAGATACACATGCACATGTACGGGAATTACACGTCAGACAATCAAGGCAGTCGAAGGTCTGGGAGATGGAAGGACCTGTGGAGGAAATGTCAGTGCTAGCAAGGGGAGATGAGTTCTGCTTACCTTAAAGTCCTCGTGCACACTACATGATGCGAGAACCTGTGTGAATGGGACCGCACACGACCATTTGTGCGCTCATTTTGCTGCATTTGCTGTGCATTATCCATTGATTTCAATGGGTGCCGCTCTATCTTGTACCTTCCATAAACTTTCCACTACTAATTGATTGTTTCATAGCATCCAACTGTCCTTTTTTTTTGTTTTGTTTTGTTTCCCCTTAAATGTAATACATAAAGTGCAGCTGGAGCCAAATTAGTTTTGGATGGAGTGGAGAAGGATTCATTTTTATTGCTGTCTGTGTCCCCGTTAGGGAGATTCACCCTATGTGTCCAGGTGAATATTATCACTGAAAGGAAATCCCAAATGTTGTGTTGTCCTCAGAACTGGAACAGATGGGACATCTTTCAACAGGGACACTAGCTGTGGTAACGCTGTTGACCACCAGCGTTGTTTCTCCCTTTGGAGGGATTTCCTCTCACTTCCTGTTGCGTCTATTGGACAGGAAGTGAAG